AAAATAAAATGTTTTATAAATTGTCTTCCCTTTTTATTCATACATGGACTTTTTTAATCGTTATTGTTATTACAGGCCATGGTTGCTTGTTATCCAGGCAATGGAACTGGTTATGTACGTCATGTTGATAATCCAAATGGAGATGGAAGATGTGTGACATGTATATATTATCTTAATAAAGACTGGGATGCCAAGGTATGCAACTTAATTGAGGTGGTGTGTTTTTTTGCCCTCAAGTTTTGGGCTGTATTTCTCACAAGTATACAGGTATTTTTTTCCTGATAGGTATTAAGATTCATATGCCTTATAGATAAGATTGATCTTAGCACTTGAATTGGTTAAAAATGTCTTCCATAGATATGTTACAGTCTCAGATATTAAGAGGAAGATCTTTATAAAGTAAAAAAGTTCGCTCAAGAAAGTGGATTCCTTTATTATTTGATATTGAAACATTTGCCATATATACTCGAGTATATAGGGCCAACCCGAATATCAGCCAAGGCACCTAATTTTACCACACAAACTGCATTAAAAATGTGCTGGAAAAATGAGCTTATACACGAGTATATATAGTATCTAAAATTTAACTTTTACAAAAATTACTCTTTATTAAAACATCTTTGTAGCTTTTATTAAAGCACTTCTGAGAACTAGCTAGTTCACATTAGCTTTTGAGGAAAATTACATATGAACAAATTTTATGGATTATTTTCTATTTACTTCTATTTCTTTGCATTATTGTAGAGCTGTTATTTGACATGGGGCTGCTTATTTAAATATTGAAGGCAATTGTAGAAAAATTAGAAGTTTGTTAATACTGACAAATACTGCATAATCAATGAGAATGTATAGTATATATTTAAAGTTACTTGTTTTAAATGTTTCCTTAATATTAGCTTTTTACTTTAAATTATTTTTAAAGGTATGCTTATATGTTGGTGTTTGTATCAACTAGATATTTTAAAGAAATTTTGTTTTTATTGAAGTATAATGTTCAGATAAGAAAAATCAGACAGGCTACCACTCAGAAAATTTTGTAAAGTGAATACACCTTTGTGTGTACCCACACACAAACTTAATGCTGTCCTAAAAGGTGTTTTACACTAAGATATGCTTACGTTCTCCAGCAACTTTTCTCTACCATAACGACTTAAGAATTTCCTCTATTGTAGTCCAAGCTCAAAAAAGAGGTAAGTCTTGCTGCTAAGTAAATTTAGAGGCATTGGGTAAACAAACAAGAATAATTTTTGTTATAACTTTCAAAATTTCAAATAGAGAAGTAAATTTGGTAGTTCACGTTGACACCAAGGCACAAAGCAAATTAGTGTAACATCGGTTAAAACTTGAAAATTGGTATTTAAAAAGGTTTTGTGGATAGCTAGAAAGTTATATATGTTTGATCAACTCTTAATTTATAGATTGTGTTATACTTTGGTCAGACTAATTTTTAAAAATTGGACATGACCACACTAGGGTTTTCACCATCAAGTTTTTAAATTAGCACATGGAGAGAAAAAAGTATATGTAGAACCATGCAAGATTGTGCTTCAGTGTGCTGGGGCGAGAGCAGAAATGGACATAACCTTCTTAGAGCTGTGGATCTTTGGGAGGTGACTGACCAGTAGACTGGCAACTTCCGTGGTTTATGCCAAGTGGTAAGACACATTGCTCACAGGATATAAAAGGGTCAGCTACTTTCAGAGGTCAGGGAACATTTTTCCAAGGAAGACTAGAAACTTCAACTATCCATTTCTTCTTACATATTTTCAGCAGATCACCTGCGGTATTACCAATGACTAAAGTCAAAGGAATGAGGATGGGGGTGGGTGGGAGACAATGCAGATATGTTCTCACTAATAATCGAGAGTTCCCAAATTTAGTTTCCCAAAGTAAGCAATACTGTCCTGTGAGGGGATTAGAATGATCCAGGGGACTGCATAAGCAGATTCCTATACTTTATCCTGGATTATGGGCTATAGCACAAAAATTTTTAACTGCCAGGGTGCCACTGAGGAGTCCTTGTGGTGTATTAATTATGCGTTGGGCTATGAACTGCATCGTCTGCAGTTTAAGGAGCTCTACAGGAGAAAGACTGGGCTTTTTACTCCCGCAAGTAGTTCCAGTCTTGAAAGCCCACAGCGAGTGAACATTGATTCAAGGCAGTGAGGTCTTTTCATTTAGGGGGCACTAGGAAAATTTTTTTTTAATCTAAAAAGGGAACAGTAGGCCAAATAAATTAGGGAATCTCTGCTTTAGATGTTTATATGGAGATAACTCTGAGCAACACTAGAAACTAACGAGGTTTGCAAGGGCTCCGAATTGCTTGCATTGAACTATACCTGAGAATGATCCTGATACAGTTCCCCCACAATAGATGTTCTATATAGGCTCAGTTCTCATGATGTTTTGATTAAGTGTTAAAGTTCTTTGCAATTTTAGAGAGTTTTCCTGCTTAGAAGTTTAGTGGAGTGAGTTTTTACCCCCCAAAATGGTGTGTTTTTTCATTTTAATCCCCACCAGATTATCAATACCCTCAAGAAAAAGTACAAGTAAAATGAGGACCTAATGCCGGGGGCTTAGGTGGAGAGCAAATGTTTTGAGAATGATGAGGGCAATGAATGTACAAATGTGCTTTACACAATTGATGTGTGTATGGATCGTGTACCACAGTTCCACATACAGTAAATGCATAGTCCGTATTTCAATGACTAGATTAATCCATTTAAATCCCAAATGAGAATATTATATTTAGATAAATAATAGTAATCCTTTATAGATGATTTTTTATCATTAAGAAATCATGAATGTATCAGGCCACGTCTGAAAATGGAAATCTAATTTCTAATGACCATGGTGATGATGATGATATCTGATGATAATCTTTACTGATATGTTGCATTAACTTTGTGACATGTCTATAATAAACATGAGTATAGTTTATATTAACCATTTGTATAATTTTGTCAACATGATTTGAAACACTGATTTTAAGAGTACAGAAAGCACATCATTAGCACATGTTATTTATAAAATGGTTGCTGGTTTTTAAAACTTTTATGCAGTATTTGAATTCAGATAATATGCATGTGTCATCAAATATTTACCAACATAAATTAATTTTTCCTTTTATCAATGAATTTACATAGAATTCAAATAAACCTTCATTCTTGTTGATTGGCTTGAAATTGTTGATAATCTAATTCACAAAACCCATTCATTGGAATGGTCATTTTTTTCCTGCCCAAATAGGATTTTGTAGCTTTCTTGGTTATTACTCATATTTACATTTTTGGCTTTTGTCCTAGGTAAGTGGAGGTATACTTCGAATTTTTCCAGAAGGCAAAGCCCAGTTTGCTGACATTGAACCCAAATTTGATAGACTGCTGTTTTTCTGGTCTGACCGTCGCAACCCTCATGAAGTACAGCCGGCATATGCTACAAGGTAGTTTATTTTTATCATCATATTTCATAGTCTTAATTGTATTGAATAATTTTGTGATTTACTCACATTCAGTATTAGATGTTTGTGGCATTTCTTTGCATAACCATCCCTTGTTGGGGTAGACTGCATAGTCTTCCTGTTTCCTAGCTGTCTCTTCATTTTGTGCTGTCTACTCTTTCATTACTTTTACATGGAGATAGAGAGATTACATAGAAGAGGGAAAAGAGTAGCTTTTAAAAAGGGATGAGGGGGGAATCCAGGACGGATGAGCCCTATAGGACCAGTGGTGTGAGTGGCAAAACAGGGAGGGTAAAGGGAGAATGGGTAGGAAAGAGGGAACCGATTACATGGAACTGTGTGTGACCTCCTCCCTGGGGGACAGACAACCGAAAAATGGATGAAGGAGACGTCGGACAGGGCAAGATATGACAAAATACCCATTTATAAACTATCAAAGGCTTATGCGGGAGGGGGGAGCGGGGAGGGAGGGGAAAAATGAGGACCTAATGTCGGGGGTTTAAATGGAGAGAAAATGTTTTGAGAAACGATGTACAAATGCGCTTTACACAATTGATGTGTGTATGGATTGGGATAACAGTTGTATGAGCCCCTAATAAAATGTAAAAAAATAAAATAATAATTAAAAAAAATAAAATAAAAAACTCAAAAAAAAAAAAACTCAAAAAGGGATGAGGGTAGGGAAGAGAGAAACTTAATGTGGAAAAATAGATACAGAGTAGAAACATAAGAGAAAACAAATAGAAGAAAATAAAGAAAAAGGTATCGTGTAAGGGAGTTAATAATCCTTTAGCATTAATAATAACAATAAGTACCTATTTCATATTCTTTCTGCAAAGCTTAGAATTGTTAACTTACTAACTCACAATTTTGTTTAATGTATTTTTAACATTTACTATGACTTAATTCAAGTATTGACTGTTGAAACGATAAATCTTGCATATATTTTTATGAAAATAAATGTGTACAAAATACTACTTTAAAGATATTTCTGTCATCAGGCCTGCTTGCTGCTTGATGTTACGAAGAGAACACTGAAGATATGGTGCTATAGCAAAGTGTAGTGAAGAAACTAGATGGTGTTAGCTATCTGAAAGGATAGTGGCTGGGGTCTTAGAGGCTTGCTTTCAAACAAGTAGCATCTAAGTGAGGCATCAACTAAGTCCACATGGAAGAAACACACCAGCCTTTGGATCCAAGGATTGTAAATAATATTTCCAAATCTAAAGGCGGGAATAGCATCAGAGCTTACATGATGCACCACCGGGCTTGTGAAAGGTTATAGATGAGAGTGGAATCCCAAAATCCATTTGCAGGGCTAGCCTCCATTGAATCCTTTCTAATCATAGTTGAGGGATATGAATAGCCATGTTATCAGACATAGAACATTGTAAAGTTGATTATAGCAAACATTGTTGGGTTAAACTGTAATATCTTATCATTTGATCTCCTTTGTGATCCAATTAAATTTATTCTAGTTTTTAATATTTTCTGCTGTCGTCGATTGAAGTCTTTAATCTGTTTTACTTTGTTATTCTTGATAGTTTCTGTCTGTTTAAGTGTTTTTCTGTATATGAAATCCAGGATAGGTAAAACTCTGTAGAGACAGTAACTGGATTAATGGTTGCTTGGGGACATAGCAAGGGAGGTTGGGAGGAAATGGGAGCTAGTAACAATGAGCACAAGAATAAAGAAAATGTTCTAAAACTGACTGGTGATTTTAGAACTCTTCTTGATGTGACTAAACTATTGAATTGTGTGATATGTGAATTATGTGCCAATGAAACTTGGAATTTTTAAAAATTTTTAAGTGAAAAAAAATTATTTCTGTCATATAAAGACTTTGAGTGTTTGAAAGTGAATTACTGGCATTCACATTTAGGAAATGCATTGAGGTGGACTGTGTTGAGAGGAGAACATACCTTTAAATATGAGAGGGTTTCAAAAAGTTGGTAGAAAAATGGAATTGAAAGATAATGATTTACCATGAACCTTTTTAAAAAAAATTATTTTATTGAGGGCTCGTACAATTCTTATCACACCATGAACCTTTTAAATGAGCCACATATACTGAAAGAAGAGCTGACATTTGGTAATGATGTTAGAGAGAGAAGCCTCTCTTTGGTGTTTTTCTAAAGACTTTGTTCTTATTTCTGAGGCAGGTTGGCCTTGTGTTCTAATTCACAGTGATTCACATGCCAAGCAGTATGTGGCAAGAGAATGTAATGTCATGGTGGTGACCAGAGAGATTCTTGTTATCTGTGAAGACTGGCTCCTCTCAACGTCTCATCTCTCTTTCAGCATCTCCCTGTCCTCTTTGTCTTTGCTACTTCTTTAAAACCTCTCCTGACCTAGAAGATGCTTTATAGAGCTTCTTTCTTAATTAAATCTTGAATGTGGTGTGGTGTGGTTGCATCCTTTCTAGGTGAAAAAAATAATGAACATTTTGGGGTAATAAATAAATGCCAGTAGACTGTGAAGGATAAGGGCTGTTGAAGTTCATAAGAGGGGAGAAGGCACTATTAAATTGGAGGAGATAGAAAAAGTATCTCCATGAAGAAAGGCCTTCAGCTGAGCCTACAAATAGAAGTAAGGGGTATAATCATGTTCATAACCTCTGAGAAAAGAGCAAGATTATTCAAGTTCTAATGCAAAGATTGGTGTGAGGAGAAGGATTATTGAAATAGATCAATGAGAGATAATGTTGGAAAGATAGAAAGAAACGTGGTAGTTTAAAAATGTATTCTGGGGGGGAGTAGGGAGGGAGCGGGGAAAAATGAGGAGCTGATTCCAGGAGCCCAAGCGGAAAGTGAGTGTTTTGAGAATGATGAGGGCAAGGAATGTATAAGTGTGCTTTACACAACTGATGTATGTGTGGATTGTGATAAGAGTTGTATGAGGCCCCAATAAAATGATTTTTTAAAGAAACATTCTGATAAGGACTTTGGGCTGTAGAAGGAGTTGATACAAAATTTAAACTCTGCTCACTGAGTAACTAAAGGTTTCGGGCAAAAGAGTGATAGAATTGATATGCACATCTCCTTTTTCATTGCCAAAGCCACCCACAAAACTAGAGGTGCCTGGTACGACGATGGTGGCACACTGGAAAGAACAGTATGGACGTCAGGAAGCCCGAACTTGAATCCGTGCATTGCCCCTCACCAGCGAGTTATCTTCTTTTTTTTTTTTTTCACTTATCACCTGCATTTATAAAACCAGGCTCAGGGAAAGAACTCGGCCTGGGGACACATGCATGGTCTTAATATAGCGACTGTTTGGCCTGCCCTGGCTATCACAGAACCAGGACAGTGAGCATATTCACAGACCAGCGAGTTATCTATGGATCCCTGTTTCCCCAAACTCTGAGACTAGCTCTATGTTGGACTCTTTACAATATGTGACATACTTTTGTTTTCCAGCATATACCAGTTTCTTCAGTGTTACTTTCGTCACCCTGACAGGTGGCCAGAATGTGCAAAATAGTTTTATTGATTGTTGTGTCTTCAAAGGGAATTAGTGATTTCTAGCTTGCAGGAGCCCTGGTAGCATAGTGTTTACACATTGACCTACTAACAGCAATGTTAGCAGTTTAAGCCCACCAATCGCTTCTTGGGGAAAAATGCTTTCTACTCCCTTAAAGCGAACTGGCCTACAGGGGCAGTTCTACCTGTCCTAAATGGTCGCTATGACTCAGAATTGGAATTGACTCTTAATGGCAGTGAATTTAAGGTTGGTTTTTTTTTTTTCTTGAACATGCATTCACTCCTTATAGTATATGTACATTTTCCCCATTATTGCAACTAACAGCAATAATTAAGTGCTTTTTAACATTTTCATAAACTGGAGATGCCTTATTTATTTGTAGAATGAGGTATTTCAAATAAATATTATTTTCAGACAAATGAAGTGTAGCTAAACTTTCCATCTCAAAACAGTGTCATTTTTGGTAGACGTCCTTTAAGAAAAAAAGTCATAACATAATTTAGCTGTTAATGACTCAAATAATTGTGAACATTTGCCATGGTTTTTTGCTGTAACATAGCCATTTCCTGAGGCTCACAAGACTTCTTGCCCTTTCTTCACTCATTGGCTGCAGGGAGTCCTGATGGCAGAGTGGTTGTGCGTTGGGCTGCAACACTAAAGGTTGGCAGTTTAAGACCACCAGGGGTGCTCTCTGTGCTGATAGAGTCCCAGTCTGGGAAACGAATTGGCTCCAGGCTGATATGCCCAGGTCCTCTTACCTGTTTCTCTCACCCTCTTCCTTTAGTGCACTTTTGTTTTTGTAGTAGTCATAATTACTTTGTTATTGATCTGTGTATTATAAAGAAGATTGTCAAGTGGGTTAAATTAGGTATTCACAAAGTAATAAAAACTGATCATCTTTGCAACATTGTTAGTCTTTGTTCTAGCTTTGAGGATATTAGCAAATAAGTTGTTATTGTAGTCATTTATCCTTTGATATAATTTTAATCTATATTTAAAATTTTTTAAATGGATTTGCCATTTTTAATATATAATTGCAACAGTACACCACCCCCTATCCCCAGTGTGATTCTTAATCCTGTTCTGAATTTTCTTTTAGGTACGCAATAACTGTTTGGTATTTTGATAAAGATGAGAGAGCACGAGCTAAAGTAAAATATCTAACAGGTAATCATCATTTTGGGTCAAGGTATATTGGGAAGAAAAATACCCTACTAACATGTGGTGCTGTCAGTGTACTCAAGCATGGTCTTTATTAATGCTATGAAGATGGATTACTTGTTTTTGTTCAGATTCTTAATTCATCTATTCAAAAGTAGACCTCTTTTAGGTC